AGTGTGTTTGTGTGTTTGAAAGTTGAAACAGAGCATAATTAGTATAAATTCATTGAGTGGTCATGCTTATTCTCAGTTGACGTCTGTGAATGAACAAAAGTACTAACTACTAACTATAAAGATTATGCATTTGGTTTGGCGAGTTAAAGACGTATCAATTATCGATTTGAGTGTGAGACTGATGAACTCCAGCAAATTGTTTGTTAAAATATTAGTAGACGCTAATATTGCATTTCTTGGCACTCCATTTGTTCTCATTATAGTTTCATTTGAGTGTAATCTGGTCTACTTTGTCTTTCTTTACTTTGCTTCATCTTTTATTTTCTTGATCCATACTGAAACAAACTAACCCATGTTGAAACTCAAAACTAAAATAAACGAGAATTTGCACTCAATAGTCAATTTGTTTACAAACATGGAAATGGGATCACACAACAAACTAACAAGTAACAAGAGAGGACTGGGGATCCTCTTAAGAAGTAAGAGTTAAGAGGAAACAAACAGGCCCACACTTTAGCCTAGATCAACTCCTAGGCGGAAGTCACATGTCCTAGATTCACCCTTGACACATGAATATAATTCTCAAAAGATTTGACCCATGACCTGACAAGGATTTTGGTTTTGTATCAGGTTGGAGTCTGAAAAGAACTTATCCAAACATTACCAACTAAGATATTTACCACTGTTAATTACTCAATTTTCATTTTTAAAAGAACTGATATTTAGCCATCACCGTGTCTAGAGAACACAGGCTTCGGTTCCACCAAATGGGCTTAAATTATAACTAAGTTTTAGGAAATGGACTTATATGTTATACACCCGACTGTTTGCCAAATCCGTTAAAATGCCTTTTATATTCTAACAATTGACTAATTGTATCAATACTGTCACATTCCATTGGCACGTGATTGTTGTAACTTTTTAAAACCCAATTTTCTCTTTAAAACTGTTCACATTCCATTGTTGTAAGATTTGACAAGGGTCACCAATTTTCAAGAACCTACACCCAGCTATTTGTTATAACTTCATGTGGACCAAACTAGATTAGATTTTAAACTTTTTATTGTTTTTCAAGGGGAAAATTTTCAAGACAGGAGGGTGATGTAAGCCATGGGGCTGCATGGTGCAGTAGCATAACTAGGGCTGCAAATGGATCGGATCATGATCCGATTCGATCCCATTTGATTGAATTTGGTTCACCTCTGTTCAGATCTTCACATCAGATAATATGATCCGACCAGAAAGTGGATCGGATTAGGATCAACCCAATTACAAAGGGTTAGCAAATGGAGAAGATATGGGAAGATGATGAGGATGAAAACAGACCTTTGTAGAAGATGAGGATGAGAACTCTAATTTCCAGAGATGAACCTGTGCTCCTTGTCTGCTAAGCACCTAAAACACATGGAATGAAAAACGTTCTTGATAAAAAAATGCAAAAATAAAACATGGATGATGTGCGAAACGGAATCCTATCTCCTTGCCGTCTGAGAAGACAAAGAAAAGGCTACATTCGCTAGAGAAGACAAAGACAATATCCTATCTCCTTGTCGTCTGAGATCTAAGATCAAAGTTGATGGAGGAAGAGAAGGGTATTTTTCGTAGAACAAAACACCAAATAGCATAAAAGCCTGAAAGGGGATGTGAGTATTTACCGGAGGCCGTAAACCTCATTGGAGATGAAAGATAAAGTGATTGGAGTTTGGATCGTTGCAGAGGTGGGAGATGAGAACAATCCACCCTCGACAAAATTTTCTCACTCGTCATGCAACTTTTGTCTCACTGGGGTCGCACCTATTTGGTGAGACCTCGCATCCCTTATTTTGAGAATACTAATCCCATCTCATTGCATCATATCTCTCGAAACGAATATGAGAAAATAGAAATATTCGACAAATACTCCTATTTTCTCATCCATGTTGCGCGAACCAAATGGACTGCAAGGAAAATGTTCTATATTTTTCCTTTTATATGTTCTTACCTCACCTCTAATCTTGCCTCCTTCACCCTCGCTTCCCCCCTCCTTCAATCTCTAATTCTTTCTCCACTCCATTCTCCTCTACTGAACCTCTATCCCCTTTTCCTCCTATGCTCCCCAACAGCTCTTCCACATCCCTTGTTTCCTTTGCCCCTTCAACCCCGTCCACCTCATGTCCTTGTCTGCTCTCCCCTTTTCTATGACTCTACTTTCAATACTTCTCGACAAAGGCAAAATAATCTCCCCACTCTGTTTTTATTACTACCATATGCTTTAAGGGTTCAGTTTAATACATGTGTTGGACATAATTGGTTACTTAATTTTACATGTTCATATTTGTAGGTTTATTTGGAGTGAACCCATCTATAAATCCTTATCCACGAGTACAAAATGTTCATATTGCCTGGAGTGAAACCATCTATAATTTCACATGTTCATATTGCCTAGAATTTGTAATAGCTTGGAAGCTGCTTTACACTGTGTACAGAATCAAATCAATGGTTGTGCATTTTGGCTGGTCCATCATCATCTGGTAAAATTACACTGTGTACAGTAACAAAATCTTTCATCTTCAACTGATATTTTTGAATTGCTTGGGTGTTTTGAGCAACACAACGCTTTTCGCAATTTTCGTTGTGTTATTGCACAAATTGAGCAGTACATTGGTGAATACTGCAATGTTTATTTTGGAATCATCAAAGGAGGCATTTATAATTGAGCGTGAAGATTTAATATCCAAGTGGCTAGATTTATCGTCCAGATTCCAGAATAAATGGGTATTTTTCTTCAAGTTCCACTTCTGCGTATGCAGATGTTTCTAATGGTTCCTCATTTTTCTGGATTCGTCGGTCCACATCATTGAACAACTGAATTTGGATTTGGAAAAATATCAGTTACCCGTATCTTCGACACACAAGGAGCTGAGTAAGACTATGAAGAATATCCTAAACCTGCAAGAGTGTTGCAATAAACAACAATTTCTACTCAAAAGGAACTTATCTTTTCTCTCTCTCCCATTAACTCTTTTAATAATCTCTGTTCATTAATTATGCCATTAATTCTCTTCTTCAATAACTCATGCCACTACTCTTTCATCTCAGTTACTCTATTAAATTGCATAAAATACATTAATTTTATTTATATATCCATTTCAATTTAACTATATTTTTATATATATTAGATATATTCGCATGGAACTATAATTATTATTAAAGAATAATTATATTGAAATTGAGATATTCCATGATATATATAATTGCACTAAATTATCTACTTCCATTTAAAATTATAATCAATTTATATTCCATTTGAAAAAAAAATAAAAATTAATTAACCATAATAAAAATATTATAGTAAGTTACTTAAATAAAACAAAAATAATTAATAATTATTTTTATTGATAAAAATATTTTTATTAATATAATAAAAARAATTTAATTAATAAAAGGAATAAGATAAATTAAAAACTAAGATG